ATTGCATAAATAATATATTCGTTTATTTAGAAATGAAATCTCGGAAGAATTTTTAATTATTAACTTTAATTTAATAAATTATTTACACGTTTAGAAATTCAAAATTTACCCACATATTGCGTTAAGATATTTTATAAAATTCGAAATTATAGATCGTAGTCTAGATCTTTTTATATATGAGTCTAGATTGTAGGTCAAGTAGAAATTGAGGGCAATTGATTTGTAAGATTAAAATAGAGAAGTTTATGGTATTTTTAGATTTAATGCCACGTTACGCGATATATAAAAATAACAACAGAATGTCGGAAATTTTATTAATTACTTAAAAGATTAGTCTGAATGGGGGTGCGAACCAGCGACTAAATGCTCAGTACTTTTTATCCATTCTTATGAAAATTAAAACGAGAGAAATTATAGATAAATACTGAGAAAATTAGTGCAAATTTGTTAATTTTTTGCAATTTATCGAGTGTAGATTGTAAATGAGCGCCCTGCATCGCATTTATTAAAACAAGAACAGANTTAATTTATAATTAATCACTTTTTATCTCACGATTTATAATAATTTAAATAAACTTTTCATATTTATTTATTTAAAAATTGCTTGATTAAAAACCATTCTAAAGCTAAAAATAGATTTATTGGTCGAACGTTTTCAAATAGGAAAAATAAAAATGTATAAATTTTTATGATATTGTTAAAAGTTAAAAACAATAAAATAGCGAAATAGCAGAATATTTTTTTTTTTCATCCGTAGAAAATTTTAAATAAAATCAACCGCTTTCGAATAATAAAGAAGAAAATTCTTAATGTGTTCTTTGTACTTTTTTTATCCGTGATGTTGATTTTATTTTGGAGTTTTTATTATTGTTTTGGGATTCTTCTCTAGGCTTAGTAATCAAAATCGATTTTAAAAAGGAAACAAAAATTGACGTATAACTTTTATATTTTATCATAAATTATAAAAACGATCGCTATGATTAAAAAAAGTAAATTTAAAAAGCGTGTTTTATTGATATCAATCGATATCGTTCTTAAATACAAGGGTGATTGTAGAATTGATGGAACGAGGCAAAGCAACACGTGGGCGATCTGCCGAGGGGGTACCTCCCGGGAAGACTTTTTATGAGAACTGGCCGTATTCGGGTGTTAGACACGCGAAGAAAACCCAGAAAACACCCCGTAGCTCAAACGCAAACTCGAGACAAAACTGCCAGTGTTTAGTATTGTTTAGCGTGTTGATTTGCCGGAAATTTTATGCGAATTACCGGATTCTGACTATTAAATGATTTATGGAATGTAGTATTTATACTAAATATGTTATAGGCCAAAAATAAAGCCTTTCCTGGCATAGTTTCACCTTTTGTTCATGTTTGTAATAATTCAGCGTTTCAGTCAAGACCAGAATCTTACCCAATTGAGCAACAATCTTACATCAATTAATAGAACAACCTTACATCAACTGGCTTCAGTCAGGACAATCCTTGATATGTTGGGCCTAACAAAATACAAGTATAAAGGGATAAAGCTATCTGAATTTTGGAAGATAAGCATTCAGGTTTCTAGAACAATTATAAAAAATAAACTTTCGATAATAAAATAACACGATGCATACACTATAGACACAGCGTGGGTATGGTTAGTACTCAAGTACGATTTCTCCTCCTTCGTCGATCCCATAAAAACTAAATTCATTCAGTTAATTGTATTTTTATTTATTGTTAGTACAGCTTTCCTCTTTCTTTTTTGCATTCACTTGTAATATTTTGCAGCAACATTTAAGCTTACTTTCAATCTTACATTGCCGAAATATGCTTATTTTCTTATTAATTTTATTCTAATGCAAAAATACAGAACATACGTTTCCAAGTTTGTGTCTGTGTTTCACTAATATTTGGGTGCATTAGCACAATTTTTTTGGTTCCGTCAGGTTTTGGCTGTCAAACAAAATTTGCTATATTAATTAATTTACTAAATACATTTTTCAAAATTATGAAATCTTACATTTAAAACTTAAAAGGCGAGCAATATACAGTTTGACGTAAAAGTCAGTTAATTAACCATGTTTTGTTTGCTGTATTCCAGAATAGGCTACATGTAAATCATAAAACTGCTTCAAAAATACGCATTTTATATTTACAGAACTGATGGAATCATTATAAAAATCAATTATAAAAAATAAAATTACATATGTAACTATTTGAATAAAACGGCAACATAATTTTTATAATGGTAAACTTGGCTTTGGACCATCCCGTAGATAAAATATTAATTTCTAAGTTCGGAAGAGTGAGCAAGTGCCTCAGGAATGGGCAAGTGCCTCATTTGTCCATCTCTTCAGACGAAAAGAGGAACAAACGAGGCACTTGCCCATCCCTGGGATAGAGTAAAAATTTCATAAATTACGCGTATAATGGTAAAAGTGACAACCTTACACTCTCGACCATGGCATGCTTTGATGCAATATTGTATTTATAATTTGCTTGTAAAACTTTCCAAGATTAAATAATTAAAAAAATTTATTGATGTAGTTATTTGTCTCCAAGCCTTGCCCCATGAAAGCATCGAATCACAATTTTAAGGGGTGCGAGACCTTATTTTGAGATTCAAGGGGATGTCTATTACTAAAAAGGTTAAGAAACACTTGTATAAGGTTACACATCTCAATCACTTTTACGACTGTAATTTGTGGAATATTTTACACGATCCCAGGGAAGGAGAGTGGCTCGTTTAAATTAGAATGGAAAAATAATTTTATTTCTAATTAAATTAGTTTTAAAAACAGGCAACAGATGGCGCCATATGTATTATCTCGCAGTTATTTTTTAAAAAATTATTTCTTTAAAAAATTATATATATATATAAATGTAGAAATAAAAGAGATACTTCAAAATTTTTTACTTAAATAAAATAAAATGTTAAATTGTTATCTCATTAGACCAAAGACTTAGCTATTACGCGTTTCATTTAGTACGATTAACGTTGATATAACAATTTGAATATTTAAGAATATATCGCAAAATAAATTTTAAAGTTATATATAATTATAATACAATATAATAAATTTTCTGGAAAATTTCAAACTTGCTAAAAATTAATTTACCTATTTTCTAATAGATGGCGCAACTTTGTCAACATATCCAATATTTAAAAGTACAGTACAGGTATACCTCGGCTTACGTCGTTTCGAGTTACGTCGTTCCCGATTATACGTCGTTTGTAAAAAAAGTATACGGAAAAATAAAAATCAAGTTTAAGTCATTTTATTCGACTTTACGTCCGTCCGCCACAAATATTGAAGTCGTAATATCACTAGAAAAGCGTTTAAAGCACATAAAATCATATTAAAATATATACATTTACAAGTATGTACTGTATTTACAGTACAGTACATGCATTCGTAACTTTAGATTTTAGATTACTTTTTTCTGTACTCTATTAAAAACTAAAATTTATTTGTTTGTAAGCTTAAAATAGATTCTTATTAACCATATATTATTAAAAATGCATTAATAAATAAAATACAGAACTGGGAATAGTAATTTAAGGTTTAGCCTAGTGACAAGTAGATTCGGAGACAAGTAAATTCGACTTACGTCGTTTTCTTGGAACCAATTACCGACGTAAGGCGAGGTATACCTGTAATTGATATGGTTAAAATAGTGTATATATTTTGACAATGTTGCGCCATCTATTAGAAAATAGGTAAATTAATTTTTTCGAATTTACTTTGAAAATATGAAATAATTCTCATTTCATATTTTCAGCAACAAAAATTTTCATCAGAAAACTATATGTATTGTTCTTATCTTTTATGATGTTTTCTATTTTAATTTCATTATTCACATAAGTTAAATATATTATCAAATATTTGAAATTTGTATTTTATTACAAAACCTTTAAGTAAAACACAAATAAACCTATTTTATGTCCTTTATGATTGGATGTAACAAAATATGAAGACATTTTGTTGCATCCAATCATAAGGAACAATCAGTCTTCCATTCCAGGGGTGACCTTTTATTTGAGGCTACTCCTCTGAAAAAAATATGCAAAACTGTTTAAAAAGTTCAATTATTTAATCAATAATTAAAAATATCAGTTGTATGAAGAGCCTAATATCCATTAAAGGATAATTTAAAATTCTTCAGATCTCTCTGGAATAAAATTCAATTTTTAGATTGATTCAGATGTATTTTCATTTTATGAAAACGTTAAACCTGTAATTTTCTCTGCAACACTAGAAACCATTGTTGGTACCGTTGGTGTGCTATTATTTCTATATTCGAACGTAAGCTATCTTCTCCTTGTAATTACAGTAGAGCATCGATTATCCGACTCCTGATCAACCGTCACATCGATTAACCGACCGCGTTCTAGTTGGCAAATTCAAATGTCCGCTAGTGATGTGTCGCTACAGTATTTGGCTAGTTTAATATTATTTTTGTTAAATCTTTGGTGTTTTAGCTGGCAACACTAGCTCGATTATGAAAGGGATGCCAGTATTTAAACGAGGCTTAATTTTCTAATTATGAGTGGTTGTTTGTTTTGTGGGCAATAAAATAATTTAAATATACAGTAATTTTTAACGATACAATAGCGACGATTATTATTTTTTAAAAAATTTTGTTAGGCTTAACATCGATGAAAATTCAACGCGAAGTAGGTTAATAGCGATATACTAATATACTAATTAAATCGGATATAATAATATACTATACTAATAATGTATTTTTTCATACTTTTCGGTTATCCGTTTTTTCAGTTATACGACCAACCCCAGTCCCCAATTGAGTCGGATAATCGATGCTCTACTCTATATTGATATATTCATACACACAACAAATTTTAGTAAATTTTATTAAGTATATATTTTATCTATCAATCAAACATAGACTATTAAACTATTAAGAAATAATTTATTTACTTTAAAAATATTAATATATAATTATGTAGGTTCGAAATTATACTTAATTCAATATTATGTTTCATTTATTTAGATGTCTTGGCAATCGCAGATATTTTCCTTAAAGGATAAAATAGCCTACTTGAAAAACAGTAATGAAATGAGTGATGTCACTTTGTTAGTAGGTTCCGAACGAAAGCCTTATCAAGCGCACAAGCTACTTTTGTCTCTCTTCAGTGAAGTATTTCAGGCCATGTTCTATGGACCTATGGCTGATGGAGCAAAAGAAGTTGCTTTACCTGATGACGATATCAAAGCAATTGAAATATTTCTGTGGTAAGTTGTGTTTATGTACTATATATTGTAAAAAGCTTTTCGAGATTTGAATAAAAACTGTATTTTTCTAATTAATTTGAGTCTGAGGTGCATTTCGAAATGTATATGAATCCTAACTAGGAATTAAACCAGCGAAGTTTATACATATTATTCAAGTTTTTGTTATTAATAGTCTATATTGGGAACAATAGGGCGAAGTTTCTTAGTTTATAATAATAATTTAAAATATTAGAATAAACATTTTTGTATTTCAAACGTTTATGTTTCAATTATGTTTTAGTAATTACCTTCTGTATGAATAAGTAAGGGTCGGATTTACATGCTCTTAAAATTGTGAGATGTGACATATGCACTTAAAAATGCCAGATATATACACGTTAAAATGCCTGAAATACGATGTATACCATTTAAAATGCTTGAAATATACATTTTGCATGTTAAAAAAATGCTAGTAATATATACTATAAATTTTAAATTAAAATGAATAATTGTAGTTTATTTTTGTGTGCAAGCAAATCTTACTAATGTCCATTATGCTACACTTTCTGGGTGGGAATAACATGAGACAATAGGTGGAAGAAGAAAATATATAGAAAAAAATCACAAATGAATATTTTATACGAGTTTTTAAAAATATGTATAAAACATGCTTTATCGGACAACTTTAATTTTATTTATTTCGACTAAAATCGTGTTTCTATCGAGGTTTCAACATCATATCATTTAAGGAGAAAAACATGCACATGCATATACTTAGTTATCATTTACATAACTGCTCGACACATAGATGTACTGTACGCCAAGTTTTGAAGTGGATACATAACGCCATAAACTTAATACTGTAAACCTGTAGCCGCAGATAATAATGTGGAAACTATAAAGTTTTTCAGTTTGTCTATTCAATTATTCATTAATACCTTTTTTCCTACTTCAAATAACAATTATTTCTCTTTATATATTTCATATTCGAATTTAATATTTATTGATATTTTGAAAATGAATAAACACAAACTTTTTTAAATTGTACAAACTGAAGTTAGAATTAGCCTTATAAGATATATTAATTCGGAAAGTTGGATAGCCGGGGTGTTAAGGAGTCTGCCTGCCACTCTAGGGATGAGTTGGATCGAATTCGGGCCAACAACCCCAGAAATTTCATACACAATCTGTTATGGATATGCCAGGTCCGTTTGTCACTACTGTCCGTCTATTTATAACTGCCCGTTTCCCTGGAAGACCCTGTACTTGACTTTTTGTACACAACATGTTACTTTTATTTATTTATTCTCTTTTACACACGAGACGCGTCATTCCAAAGTGCATCTTATTCACTTTTGTGTAATTTTCAGTACTGAACAAAAGCTTTTAAACTGAAATTTGACAATTCATTGGTCAACGAGTAGAATGGACATAATGTGAGCCATTCTACTCGTTGTCATAATGAGTCATAATGTGAGAATTGTAATTTCCACAAAAATTTGAGAAGATATTGAAGTTTACAATACGAATAAAATAAATTTTAAAATGAAAACACGCAGTTTGGAATGACACGCCTCACATATAAAATTAAAACTTATATCGTAGATAGTTAAATAATTTGTTTTATTTCAGTTATGTTTACACGGATATTGTGCCATTAGAATCTATAGAAGACGGTATCACTGCTTTATACTTCGCAGAAAAATATATGGTGTTATTCATAAAAAATATCTCCATCACTTACTTAAAAGATAATATAACATCGGATTTTGTTATCGACATATACGAAGCAGCAAAATCTCTGGATCAAACTGAATTACAGATAGACTGCTGGGAATTCATTAAACAAAATACGTACGATGTTCTTAGGAACAAAAACTTTAAATTTGCAAAATTTGAAACGGCAATGGAAATAGTTTGCGAAGATGACCTAATATTGCCTTCGGAATTACATATGTATAATGCAATTGTTGAATGGGGAAAAGAACAATGTAATAATGGAGAACAGGAGAATCTTCGACAAATCCTGGATCCTTTACTTCGTCAAGTACGATTTCTGACAATGACAGGTTTAGAGTTTGCTGGATCTCCTTGCGAAGACGGAATTCTTACACAAGACGAACAATTAGAAATATTTAAAGAAATGTTTGTGCAGAATAACGTCGAAAATGATCGTTCGGAAAGAATATTGGAAGAAACCAAGGAGATATCAATCTTACAAGCCTTCTCAACCGAAATTAAGTAAATTAGCTTGGTTTTAGTACGAAAAATGTCTATTAGGACTTATTTTATTAATATGACTTATTATACCGGTTACCTAGTTCTGCAAATTGAAGAAAACTTATCAGAAAAAAACAGTCTTTATTTTTCACCTGAAATCCTCGTAGACATTTTACGTACTAAACTATATGATAAGGACACAGGCATTTGCTTTAATTAGATTGGTTTTCTTCCATTCTTTCAATGGAAGAAAACCAATCTAAATTAATTAAACTCAATGAAAATTAAGTTTAACTCTTAATTCTACAATTTATTTTGTTATCTCATTCTACAATTCAAACTTTATCTTAGTGATATAATTATGATTCGTCAAAGTATCAGAAAGTAACTACATAAACCACAAATGGATATACTAGTATCAATACAATAAGCAATATTGACATCCAAAAACAAATGCGTTGTCGAATGTCCCAGTGACGTTTTTAAGCTCTTTGGAACCAAATAGACTTCCACCTCATAACTATAGGTTTGAGCACCAGTAATGCTTTTGCGAAATTTGGATTAAGCCCTTAGCAAGTTCTTGTTTTTTGCAGCTTCATTATTATAAATACTGAGGTCAATAAATGCACGTTTTAGTTACTAAGACGGTTGTTTTTATTATCCTCTCTCAATTCCACAACACCTCAAAAACCCGAGCAACAACGGGCATACATCGCTAGTATTCAATAATAATTATTAATTAATTAATTAATTAATTAACGGAGCCAATGACGAAGTGAATATCATTTAATGCTTCAGCTTATCATTTACAGATTTTTTATTTTATAGAAAATTATTTTATAAATTTACACCTATTTGCTGTACTCATAGGCAATTATATTTTATTACGATACAATACGTTTATTGCAATTACTTTAATAAAGAAAAGAAAAACATCATTTTGTATAAATTCACCAGTAACCAAGTGGATGAAACCATCGACTGCTGGTTCTTGGTCGTGTGTTCGCGCCTGCCAAGGGGAGTTTTCCGGATTTTCTTTACGTTTATAACACTGAAATAAAGGGCCAGTTTTTCGATAATATCCTCTCGTGGGACATCACCTCTGTATAGAATTAATCAAATCATTTCATCTGCAGAAAAGAAAAAAAAAAAGAATAAACTATTGAAATAATTTACTTTATAAAACATTCATACATATTAATTAATAATTCATTCTTTTAACGTTTATAACTAAAAATAAAAAAATTAATTTAAATCAGTTAACATTTATATATTTAAAATACATTTAGTTAATTTTCGACTCATTTTCGGTTTGTAAATATGAATGTAATGTATTGATAATATACTATCAACAAATGTTTTTTGTAAACATTTATTTCACAAACATGAGTATGAGGACAATTAGAAATAAGTTAAATTAAAATCGCTTATTAATACAGTTTTTTTTATTTAATTTCCTTTCACTGTGGGAACAAAGAGAGCATTTTTTCAGGCATACTTACTACCTAGCTGGCCATCAGCCTGAACAGCCAGTTGACAAGGCACGTGGCCTAACATGCCTGAGACAAATCACCCCTAAAAATTCCTGGCAGTTTTTGACCGCCGGGATTTATGGACTATGTTATTCCTTAAAACGTGTATAATAATTTATAAATATAGCTATAATTCCAGCGTGCAATAGTAATTTTTTATTTGTTTTATTATTAAATTATTTGAAATACTTTAAATATATTTATTGCCTTAACATTCTAATTTATTATAAATAAGTTATATTATACTTACCTACGTAGAGATTATGAAGAAAATAAACACTGTATTTCAGTTAATTAACTCTTTGGGTACAGAGCAATTTTTAATATTAATGTAATTAAACATAAAAAATATTTAAAAAACTGAAAAAAACGAAAGAAATGCGTTAATTTTGAAGAGAAACCTTCAAAGTTCAACTTTCATTGTCTCCCCTGGGCGAAATCTGAGGCAGATAAGTCATTGTGTTTACAGCTGGATGACCTTGAGAACACCTGGTGTTGGATTTCCCGGGACATTCTCATTGAAGTCTCAGGAGGAGACAGGTTTAAAGTAGGGTGAATACTAGCTAGCCGTATATTTTTAAATATTTTTAAAAATTACGTTTTTTATTGCGATTTCCGATCCCCCGACTAAATTAAACGTATATATAATAAAATTTATTAATTAAAAAAATTAAAAAACTATTGTAGGTCGTTTTTGACATCAGAAACTAGCTTTAAATGACTTTACAGAAGTAAAATGGGTGCACTAGAACGATGAATGAAATTTGATGTCAAACCATTAAAAACAATTAATTGTTAATCATGCGTCATTAGAGGTAGATTAAAATCGCAATAAAATTTTTTTGCGCCGGAAAAAATTAAAAAAAAAATTTAGAGACTTAAATAACATCCGAAAACCCAAAAAAATTTGTTTTAGAGGGTCCAAACGCCCGAGTTTTATGTAACGCTATGGAACTTGCCCGAGTTGTCTCGGGATAAGGGCTTAACTAAATGAAGAGATTTTATTAAATTATTTAATATATCAGTAAATATTTAAATTGTTAATATACAGGATTACTTATTCTTTAAATTGAAACGAAATTCAATTAAATATAAAAATATAAATTTAAAAAATAATTTTTATTCTACAAAAGAGATTATTTAAAATAACTAAAACAATAATGAATAAAAACTTATTTTTACGTTTCCGTTTCTGTTATAAGAGAACGATAGATCAGTCATAAAAATAATTACAAGCTGTTTACATTTTTGGACTTAGAGGACCGAAATGCAGAGAAATCCAAAAAAATTCGTATAAAAAATGTATGTATGAATGTTAGTGTGTCTGGGCGAAACATGATTTTGTTCACCCCTTTGAAGTTTAATTAATAACTTCTGCGCAGTTTGTCGAAAATCTCTGAAATTTCGCAGGGAGGTTTGTATATTACGGGAAATGATGCTATTAAATTTTGGCGGTTTAAGATCGAGGGAATGAGGAGATAAACGAGGTGAAATCTCCAACAGGGCCAGGATTAATGACAATTTTCCTTGTTATTAGCATTTACAATTTCTTTTTTTTGTATAAAATCCATTCCTACCCAGAAAATTAAGCTTTTTACCATTTAAAACAATTAAAGATATGTGAAGTTTTTAAAATAAAATATCATAACAGATGGCGTTACCGAAATTTTAAATGTTTTCGGGAAAGTTAAGCATCTCTTTGCTGGAGTTTTGAATGTGATTGTTACAGCAGGGTTTTTTTTATTGGGGGCGCAATTAATAGCAAAATGTGTGCATGTGAACCTCTGCAGTCATTTGCGAACTTTGAGAAATATGCAGTTATACTCTTACCTTCGTTTCCCCTACCGATCAGAAACTTTTACCTTTGTTTCTCTATCTAACTCTTTTTACATAAACTTCTCAAATACAGTAGAGTCCAGGAAACTCGACTTTCGATAACTCGGCACTCCGTAAAGTCGTCGTGTCATTCAAAAACAAAATATATTTAATTTGATTTTTACATCTAAAACTAGGATAAAATAAGTTATCGTTCTTCGGCAGCACTTAACATGAATTCCACATGCTGTTAAAGAATATAACCCTTTTCCATATTTCCACTGCAAAAGACTACGAAGTGAATACCACTAATTCGAAAGTAACTTTTTGTTTGAATATATCAAAGACAAGTTTGTCCAAGAGGACAGACTTGTCTTTGATATATTTAATAATAATCCAGCCATCGGACGGAAAAATTCAACAAAAATAAATTTTTAAATGTACCGTCGCCAGGGAGCAGCTTCAAAATCTACATCTTCCAGCACCTTTTCTAGTAGATATAAAGCAGAACCACCCATTGGTCAGATGGATGAAAAGTAAGTCGTCTGTGTCACCGATTCCTTTTACTTTTAATTGGATGTTTGCGTTTTTTAAAGGACATTTTTTACCTTTTGGCGGCATAAAGCCTAAAAAGGAAGGCCTGTCGCCATTAATGTGTATGTGTAGTCTGGAATGCGAAATAAATGGTGATCCCTCTTGGACAGACTTGTCTTTGATATATTTAATCGAAAGTAACTACTGAATAGTCAATATTTTTAAAAGTAAAATTTAACTACAAATAGATATAGTCAACTGGTTCGTAGTTAATACGTATATGAATTTGTACATATATTACCTTTACGAAAATTCTTCTATTTAGACTGGCATCATAGGTTTCTCTTATTTTACCATTAACATAGGAGTCTGTAAAACATGTCATTTTCGGTAACTCGCCAGCTTTTCACTCCATATCATGTTGAGTTTGTGAAACTCGAATGTATGTACTTAAATTATATAAGCAATTTTAATATTTTGAACGTGGTAGTAGTGTACGTTTTATAGTATATTTCCATTAACTATCACTACTGTTTACGGAGATGCAAACACCAGTTGGAGTGAAGATAAAGCGGAGTAATGGCCTAAGCTTGACTATGCCTTCAAAAAAATCCGAGGCGATGCTAAAGTTTTTTGAATTTAACCATGTTTTTTTCACAACTATCAGTTCTAAGTGCTAAAGAATATTTCCAGGAAGTGGTATTTATTATTAGTAGTACTATTCGGTACCACAAATAAAGCGTTCAACAAACTATTCGGTATTAGTAGTAGTACCACAAATAAAGCGAACGTAAAATTTGAACCATTCCACAATTTTAAGCATGTGTTGTAATAAAATATTTCACCATGATTATCGCATTACAAATTCAATTTAACTTAGTAATATACGTAAGAACTGTTATTACGTTGCTCAGAATCACATTTTACGGCATAACGGATGAAAGCCATTTCTCAAATGATGATGCAGTGATTACGCCAGTTTTCAAAGAGTTTTTTGTATAATTAGTTCCGTTTTGTCCAATATGAAGATTACAATAATTTACTCAATCAGGTGGTCAGTGAAGACGATTTTACATGGAATACTCTTTATATTTGCTACGAAAATGTTCCTCTAATACTAAAATTTTTACCCATATCTATAAATTATAGGTACACAATTGAATTATATATTTGAAGGTATAAAGTGTTTGAATACATAACATAAAATCTTGTTATATATTTAAATAAATTTATTACTTTTATTAATTACATATGTTTTCAAATATTATTAAAAAATTTCATATAATTTCTACAATAATTGCACTGAAATGGGTTGAATTTTCATTAAAATTTGTTCTTTCTAACTGGCTTGATAGAGAACAGTTTGATCTACAGGAGACAAACGTTGTGTGAGAAGACAGCGTTAAAGGCAATAACGGACTAAGAATAATTTCACAGATTTCATTCTTCTTCACAATAACTGGACGATATAAGAATACAGGTATATCGTTGATTCCTATTCGCTTTTCCTTTACAAATACAGTAATTTTTACAGTATTATGGCACCTTGCAGATGTCATCTTATTAGTAATTCTTAAAGTAACATCTATTTTTAATTTTACGGATGGTTCATAACTAGATCTTGTGAAACCAATTTTTAGGAAAACTCCCCATATACAAAGATTATGATTACGTGTTTTGAAAATTTCCGTTATAGTTGGAAAATTTCTAAAACACTGTAAATGACACCGACAAATCGAGTAAAAATGATACAATTTAAATGATCGAAACATCCTTGGATTGTACCATTGATGCACGTTGTATGAATTTACACCTAGTTTTTCTGCATTGCTACTTTTTCTTCGAACTATTTCAAATAGTTCATTTTTTGTTAGAAGACCATCAGTGGAAGGTGATCCTAACAACTCGCAATAAGTCATAGAAATGAATCTCACTTGTTGAATTAATGGAGAAACTTTTTCAAGTAATTTTTTAATGTCATTATCTTCAATTTGTTTCCTTCCCCACGCCACAACTGCATTGTACATATCTAATTCTGATTCCAATTTTAAATCATCCTTCGATACGATATCTAACATGGTTTCAAACTTCACAGTTAACAATTTCTTATTCTTGATAACTTCAGAAATGTCATCTTTAATGAACCTCCAACACGTTTCTCTTAATGGTTCTTCATTGATATCTTTTGCTATTTCGTATATTTCAAAAATGTAATCCTGACATAAATGATTATTCAAATAAGTGACACAAATTTTCTTCAAAGATGTTACCTTATATTTATGTGCAAAGCGCAAAGCTGATATTGTTTCGGATATAGAATTTAATGTTATTTCATCCACATAAATGTGCCTGTAATAATTATGTAATAATTGAAGTTAGAAGATAAATATATGTATATGTTAAACTTTCACTCAAGTTACAAATAAAAAATAATAATTAACATAGCCAATAAGTTAGAGTTAAAGCAGTTCTCTTAATTTAACTAAAAAGAGTAAGGCTATATATATTAATAAAATAATAATTATAACTAGTACATTAAATTATGAGCCTACTTTAAGAAAATATCAACAGCAGTGGAATCATCATCTGATAAAATTATTTTATATTTGTCATTTAACACTGAGCCATAAATCATATTGCAGAAAACCTCGCTGTATATTGATAACAGCAACTTGTGTGAAAGAAAAGATTTTTTGTTTTCACCGACAATTAGTGTAATATCTGATAATTCTTTTGTTGTCAGTAAGTAAGCAATCTTCTCATTTAAGTTTCTGGTTACTGACTGCCAGGCCATCTNTGAAAATATATTAGTTATTGCTTTAGAAATTCTCAGAAAAATAATTATAATTTAAAATTAATTCTTGACATCGTGCAGCGAAAATCAACATTAAATTCCACATTAAACACGGCAAAGCTTTTACTTATTTTGGAAAAACTTTTTCTAATTAAAATTATTAAGTTTTTCTTGCATATTTAATCTGCTTAAAGAAATATCTAGTGATGACACCATGCTGCATATGCACTTGTACGAATTGCCTGAAGATTTGAAAGAGAGGCTTTGAATTAACAAAGAACGTTCTTCGTGCTAGGAGTCAGTTTCAGTAAGAAACAAAGAAATAATTTTTCAAATTTTTAAAGATATTAGTAGACAATCAATAGACTAAATCGGTGACGTTTTAGAAATTTCGTATGGTTTCTCCACGACCTTTATCACGATGAGTTCAAAATGCATCGCATCTGAGAAAGTCAAAGAAAACGAGCAACATGAAAAATTCAGATAACATAAACAGAATAATTTCTAAAAATTAAAAATAAAAATATTCTAAAATAATAATTGTAAATTAACAATATTCCATTCATTAGTTTTTCTGTAATAGTGTGAATTTTTAAACTGCACAGTACTGTATATGGCTACAGTGACCAAACTGCGAAAGTAAGAATCATACGGCTCTTTCCGTGGATCCTTACTGTGGCTTCCGTATTCTTATGCAATTTTTCGTAAACTTTGTAATATTTAAAAGTTTCCTGACTATTATGTAGCGTGATATACACACGGATTCTAAGCGTAAACTTTACCCTATAACGGTTTGGTTTGGTTAAATTATGGCAATGCAACACTTGGGCGATCGGCCTAGAAAGAATGCCTCCCAGAGAATCTCTCTTTTTAAGGATAATTGGCACCTATTCAGGCGTTACAGATGTGGAATAAACCCGGAAAACTCCACGTGGTCAGCCCGTCCTGGAGAGTCGCGAACCCACGACCGAACGCCCAGTGTTCCGGGTCCAGAACCGCTTGATCACTAGTGAGTAAACTTTTTACGGGCAACTGAAAGCTAATTTAACTACGAATTTACGAATATACCATAAGTGTTTATCTAGCCGGATAGTCGAAGTGTTAAAGCGTCAGCCTACTGTTTTGAAGAACCCCGGATGGAATCTGGGCTAGTCGAAAAACGCCAGGAATTTTTCCTGAGCAGTCTGTCTGGATTTGTTGATTAACGTTCCTTACTTCACGACCGTCCATCCTGGCCACACCCATGATAAGCTTGAAAAATACCCTGTTATGGTCCACAGTGAGAAAAGAGTAAAAATGAGTATGCTACCACTAAAATAAAGTAACAGTGAATACAGTAATAGTTATAGTATTTTAACTGTATATAAAATCAACGCTCCAATAGAGGATGCTGTTAGGCAATACATGGCTTCTTTCGTGGTATCCTTGGTATATGGTTTACGAGTTACGAATATGAGAAAATTACATTTTATTATGATTTATTACTAATTAACGTAATTTTCTCATATTTATAAAATAGAAGAATTCAGTTTGAAGAATTCAGCTCGAGTCAGACTCGAGCGTGGTGCAGATGGGGTTGCTAACTGTTCTAATTAAAAACACTTTAAGATTAACTTCGATTGAAGACAATTATTATTTTTGAAAATATATTAGTTATTGCTTTAGAAATTCTCAGAAAAATAATTATAATTTAAAATTAATTCTTGACATCGTGCAGCGAAAATCAACATTAAATTCCACATTAAACACGGCAAAGCTTTTACTTATTTTGGAAAAACTTTTTCTAATTAAAATTATTAAGTTTTTCTTGCATATTTAATCTGCTTAAAGAAATATCTAGTGATGACACCATGCTGCATATGCACTTGTACGAATTGCCTGAAGATTTGAAAGAGAGGCTTTGAATTAACAAAGAACGTTCTTCGTGCTAGGAGTCAGTTTCAGTAAGAAACAAAGAAATAATTTTTCAAATTTTTAAAGATATTAGTAGACAATCAATAGACTAAATCGGTGACGTTTTAGAAATTTCGTATGGTTTCTCCACGACCTTTATCACGATGAGTTCAAAATGCATCGCATCTGAGAAAGTCAAAGAAAACGAGCAACATGAAAAATTCAGATAACATAAACAGAATAATTACTGCCGAAGATGCATTGCGTTTCTTCTACGATCCACAGAGCAAGCGCTTTTCGCTGACATGGATGGAAATCAGCCTTTTCACCAAGGCAGAATATATTTTGTCTCGACAGATCCAAGCAGAAGGCTCTTTTGGTGTAAAAGGCCTGCTGCGTTACTAGTTTATTGCTGACTGTAGATTCGTTAATAACGATTCCTACATCTATATTCTTCATTATCACTGCGGGGCGATAAGATGAAAACGGTCTCATCTCTGGCAAGCCCAACGATGAGTTTATCACAACGTCCTCATGTCTCGCACAATATATCATTTTATTATTACAAGTAAAACATCATTCTAATTATTATTGATTCATATAGTACCAAGATAAATTATAATACTCAATAATAATAATAATATGCTAGATAGCCCTAATGTTCAATCAATGTTAACTCGTTTATAATTAAAATATTAAAAAAATTTTAAAAAGCAGCCAAATTTCCAAAACAAAAATTATAGAAATTACTAAGAAAAAGTGAAATAAATTTAAATTTCATTAGCTTTGGAGCGAAACAACAATAAAAAAAGTTGCAATTAATTAAAAAATTATTGTAATTACGAGTTCAAAAAATGCAAGCAAAATTAAAAAAATAATAAATAAATAAATAATTATAAAAAACGATTATAAAACTAAAACTAAATTAATACTAAATAAATTAAATCTAGAAATAATAATTAAATTTATTTATTTTTATTTTTACAATTAAGCAGAAATATTCTGTAAGGCAATTGGGTACCTATCCTTGAAGTTAACGGATAAACAAACATACATTAAAAGATAATAAAACCCTGGCATTTACATTAAAACCGAAACTGAAACCAGACTAAAATTAAAAACAAAATCAAAATTAAATCAATGTTCGCTCCTCTACCGTCCCTCAATGGTGGCGCATCTTTTCCATATAAGTGTTAATATTTTTATGATGTACTCGTTATTTTAAGAAATTTATGATTTTAAACTTTTAATTTCACAAAATATAAATTATAACTTACAACATCGCTTACCTTTTGTTTATTAATCCAAACGGAAATTTTTATCTAAACGAAACTAGAATCAACAACTTTTTTGTTTCCACTTACACAAAGTCTACGCAGAAGCTTCAATATTCCTTAGAAAAACAGTTTACAAATTGGAGTATAGTAATTTAACGCTATACAAACATTGCAATATGTAGTAAAATTTATAAAATAAGTCAACTGTTTTATATGAGGTATACATTACTTATCAGTTCATCCTTTAATATCAAATGAACTTTGATTATCGAACTGTGAGATAACATAGAAAAATGAATAAGCACATTAAAAATATAGTGCAAAGTTTTGTTCTAATTTAATTATTTGTATAATAACATATTCGCAGTTATTGTGGTATAGAGAAAGAGCGATATCTTATCAAGAATGTTTCCGCATAAACTTATATGACAATGAACCGTGTCGTTAAATATTATACCAAGGAAATTATNATTACAAGTAAAACATCATTCTAATTATTATTGATTCATATAGTACCAAGATAAATTATAATACTCAATAATAATAATAATATGCTAGATAGCCCTAATGTTCAATCAATGTTAACTCGTTTATAATTAAAATATTAAAAAAATTTTAAAAAGCAGCCAAATTTCCAAAACAAAAATTATAGAAATTACTAAGAAAAAGTGAAATAAATTTAAATTTCATTAGCTTTGGAGCGAAACAACAATAAAAAAAGTTGCAATTAATTAAAAAATTATTGTAATTACGAGTTCAAAAAATGCAAGCAAAATTAAAAAAATAATAAATAAATAAATAATTATAAAAAACGATTATAAAACTAAAACTAAATTAATACTAAATAAATTAAATCTAGAAATAATAATTAAATTTATTTATTTTTATTTTTACAATTAAGCAGAAATATTCTGTAAGGCAATTGGGTACCTATCCTTGAAGTTAACGGATAAACAAACATACATTAAAAGATAATAAAACCCTGGCATTTACATTAAAACCGAAACTGAAACCAGACTAAAATTAAAAACAAAATCAAAATTAAATCAATGTTCGCTCCTCTACCGTCCCTCAATGGTGGCGCATCTTTTCCATATAAGTGTTAATATTTTTATGATGTACTCGTTATTTTAAGAAATTTATGATTTTAAACTTTTAATTTCACAAAATATAAATTATAACTTACAACATCGCTTACCTTTTGTTTATTAATCCAAACGGAAATTTTTATCTAAACGAAACTAGAATCAACAACTTTTTTGTTTCCACTTACACAAAGTCTACGCAGAAGCTTCAATATTCCTTAGAAAAACAGTTTACAAATTGGAGTATAGTAATTTAACGCTATACAAACATTGCAATATGTAGTAAAATTTATAAAATAAGTCAACTGTTTTATATGAGGTATACATTACTTATCAGTTCATCCTTTAATATCAAATGAACTTTGATTATCGAACTGTGAGATAACATAGAAAAATGAATAAGCACATTAAAAATATAGTGCAAAGTTTTGTTCTAATTTAATTATTTGTATAATAACATATTCGCAGTTATTGTGGTATAGAGAAAGAGCGATATCTTATCAAGAATGTTTCCGCATAAACTTATATGACAATGAACCGTGTCGTTAAATATTATACCAAGGAAATTATATTAAAACTATGCTGAGAATTTGCACTCTTAAATTATATTTTGAAATATTGTTGTATATTTACGAAAAATTAATTCACTTTTTGGTTGGTTGGTTCACTTTTTGAGACTCACTGCTATAGTGGAAATTTAATATAGATGAAAAAATATCGCGAAACAAGATAGAAATATAGAAATATGGTACACTGTAAAAATTATGCTGTAAATAATTATATGTAAAATAGTACTACAGAAATAAGAGGTTTTACTATAAACATATAAGCATAGTTGTTGTCATTTTTAATTAGTATCAATTCTCTTGGCAAATGTTCAAACATGACACTTTTAACTAAAATATAAACAACGTACAAATGAAATTAAACTAAACATATTTATCACCGTTTAAAATATAATATTTTGTGGGTATAGTACAAAATTGTATAGTCAAATTTCTCTCAAGTTTATTCTATTAAATTTTTTTACATTATTACATTACTACATTATTACATACTACATTACTACATTATACATTATTACATTACTACATTATAAATTATTACATTATTACATTGCAGTAGCCCTCCAAGTATCAGAAACGTGGAATGACCGGAAAAGAAACACTTCTTCTTATAAAATTCACAAATAAAGTTAAACTGAATGCCGAATAATATATCAGTAATGTACTGAAGCCATATTTATAAAGACAATTTCCTCTGAAGTATCCAAGATAGATCATCAAAGTTGTGTTCCATCACGACAAACCGTCTTTTCATACTGAAAGGAAAACTGTGGAGTATTTCGAACATCTTAAAGCTTCTACAGATCTAAAAAAAAAGACAGGATATTCCTATTAAATCTCCTAACAACTGCTATAGACTTCTTCTGTTTCGCATTCTTTACATAACGACTTTTCTACCGATATGTTTCAACTCTGAGTGGAATTTAAAAAGCAGTTAAAGACGAATGGTCAAATGTAACCCCCGAAAACTGTAAAAAAGTTTTTAACTCATGGAAATGGTGATAAAGGCTTATTGCAAAACAGCAAGGAGCTCACATTGAACAAACCATAACAATTAACAGAAGGGCTCTTAAATTAAGTAATTAATTTCGAAGTTGAGTAATATTTACGTATACTCTATCAGTATTATACAATGTTATTAAGCATTTTTACACTGCACCTTACAGTCCTAATTGAAACATTTTCAGCATATGTTCTACTCTAGAACATTACGTGAGGTTATCTCTAGCATCTATTACATAAATACATAGTCTATGATTGAACTCATGTATCCTGAAAGTAGAAAAAGCTCTTACTCGACAGAGATTCTCATAGATGGTTTTCGGGAGTTGTATTGCAAATAGGCTACATATTAACATGATTCGTCTATGTATCAATGTTATTGGTTTCAGGATAATAAAGCAGTTTTAGTTACATACATCCTTAAGCAGGAGTCAAAAAGATGCTAAAAAAGTTCACATAGCCTGGCTAACCGAAATTTCATTTTATAATCAATTTATGATAAGAATGAGTTTGTCTGGCCAATATATCAGTGTTTAGAACTTCGATCGTAAGACTGAATATTGGTAGAAAGTATTTTAAAATCTGCTTATGAGAGCCGTAGTAAACAGATGAACCTTTTTCAAACAGACCCGTCATAACACAAATATGTGTTTGTTGAGATATCTTGTTCCTTTGGCATAAAACGTAATGGCTGCAGGAAAGTTCAACGAAAAAATGTTCTGGACATCCTTCCTAAGTAAGGAAAACAAGGGGAACATAGAAGATATGCTTCCAGTAAAGGTAACACCAGAAGAAAGTGTTCAAGGTGTTCAGTAGATAAAGTCTTTTATTTATCATTAATAAGTTGATTTGGATTAATATTTCTTATTGTTCATTCCTCTATAATTCATGGTTTCAGAAGCATTGGGATGTATGAGTTTCACCGCAAAACACCAATGTGACAAGAGGCCAACGGGTACAATTTCACAAAACTTTGAATGAATTTCTTTTACTTAAACATGTAAAATTCATTTAGAATAAATACAGCTTCACTACACAAAAAATAGTAGAAAAGCGTGGCTTTCACAATATGTTAATTTTGTAGTATATATTATTAATTATAAATTAACTTTGATATTTTATATTGTATCTTCAAATATTAATATATAGACATTGTATATTCAAATATAATATATTTGAATACACAATAACTATAGTGTGTAAATATATTTCTAACCAGCTTTTACCCGCGACTTTGCCGGCGGAAGTTTTGCAAGCAAACCCCGTTTATATTCAGTATTTCAACAACCATAGTAATTGTTATATAATACCTATCGCCGAGAATGATGAGAATTGCTGAGAATCAAACAAACTATTTCAATTTGATCAATTTTCTGGAACGTTTACAATCGTTCTATAATCGAACCAATATGCAATAACAAATTCCTATTTAAAAATGTTCGAACATTTGGATAAAAAATCAAAATATATAAAAATATTTATAACAATGTCTGAAATGTTATTAATTTAATACACTTAAGTACTTAATAAAGACTAAATAACAATAACAAAAAATCGCATGTAAAATAGTACAGTAGAAGCCGTTCTTCATGTTAAGCCTTAATGCTCTCCCTCTCCCCCGCTAAGGAATTTTCGAAAAATCCCTTCCAAGTACAGGTAACCCCCGTAAAACACGGTAGTTACGTTCCAAAAAATTGCCGTGTTATGCGAAAGAAAGAAGTAGTACGAAAAGGAGGGTTAGGTTCCAAAAATTAAAAAAAACATGCTACTATATTTTCATAATTAAGGTAAATATCCTTATTAAAATTTCCTTAAGTGATACATATTATTATAAATTAAACAATGTTTTCTTTGTCATCACTAAAACCACTATTAACCGAGAGTGTTTTATTTTTATCAAGTTATCGTTATCCTCTGAGCATTTTTCTGCATTATTTTCAGATTCATGCTTTACCTTTTGCAAAAAGTGTATGTAATTTTAGATTGCTTGCTTCTAGTTAAAAGATCTTTATAAATTTCCTTATATGGTGCTAAGCACTTATGGAATAAGGGAAAAACATCTGGCAACACTAGAAGCAGAAGCGTCGAGATATGGCAAAATTGAAACAATTTTCGCGAAGGACCATGTGTATGGAGATGAGAAAAAAAAGTTTACACACTGAAGTACTAATAGTTTACGAAAATAATAATTTTTGTGAACTATTAGTACTTAAGTATGTAAAAATTTATTACATTTCATGTTGTACGAGGGTTTTACCCATTTCTCGAACCGTGTCAGAGTGAATCCGTGCTATAAAAGTACCGTGTTATACGGGGATGGTACCAATTCTCGAACCGTGTTAGAGCGAATCCGTGCTATAGAAGTGCCGTGTTATACGGGGGATGGTACCAATTCTCGAACCGTGTTAGAGCGAATCCGTGCTATAGAAGTGCCGTGTTATACGGGGGTTACCTGTATGCATTCCCTTGGCGTACCCTACTAAAACGCAGTTAAAAACAAAAAAATCGCATCTAAAATAATACAGTAGAAGCCGTTTTTCCGGTTAAGCCTTAATGCTCTTCCTCTCCCACAGCGGGGGAA